AGTTGGGCCCTGTGATTCTTGCATCCTGGTACTCAAGTTTTATTCACTCAAATTCATTTGAAAATTAGAGGTAATAAAACTTGAATCTATTCCAACCATATGATGATGGAAATAATATTGGTGTGATTATGTTTAAAGATTCCATTACATAACACTGCAAAAACCATCTTGGTAGAAGGATCCATTGTCCATGTTGGCTTGAAGAAGCAAACTCTAGATGAGTTGCCTTCACTGAGAAACCCATGTTGCAAGGATCAGAATGCAGCTCCTAGAAACAGAGAAGTGCTTCCAGTCAACAGCTAGGAAGATGTTGAAAACTTGAGGCATACAGTTGAAAGAAGTTGCATTCTCACCACCTAATTGAATCTTCCCCTAGAAGAACTGGGATGAGTATGCTGCCCTGGCCAACACCTTGACTGTGCAGTTTGGGTAACCTGAAACAGAGGAAACTAGCTAAACAATGTTTAGACTACTGTCTATCAGAAATTGACAAGTTAAATATATTGTGGAGGGAGCACATTTTTGGCTAATAAGATTGTGGTAATTTGTAATGTAACAATAGAAAAAAAAATCTCTCAGAATCACAATATTTTATAACTCACATCCAGTGCTTGGACTAGTTTTCTCACGTAATTTGTCCTTTTTTTATCTTTGTTCATTGTGGAAGTCTTATTCTGGTGCTAGTATTTCTCCATGAATGAAATAAGATACCCTTTTCCCATGTTTATACTTTCATATATTCCTTTTAAAGAGTGAATTTATATTGTTAACTTTTCATGAAAACATTTAATCAAGTACAATGACTGCTCATTACATTATATGTTGTTTGGATATGTGGTATCTCATAAATGCTTATGTGCAAGATGATATAAGAACATTCAGGGGTGAGATAATTGGATTATGCAAGTTGTAACCCAGAAATAATAGGGAAGATGGCTTGAGAGCATTTCAGGCATTAGAAAGACCATATTCATCACAGGCTCAAGGATATAAAAGTAAAAATTTCTTTAAAAAGAGATCATGGGGACTCTCTGCATGCACAAGGGACCAACAATGTCATTCCACTGTGTTCAGCTAACCTTGCAGCTATGGTCCCAGAAGACGGATATTGCTCAAAACAGGTGCAGACCTTGTGCATTTACCATGTGGGGCTGGATCTATAGGAATGCAAGATACATTAGGTGGTCCTAGAAGCTTCCATTGAGATATGAAAAAAAAAAGGCTTCGAGGTCAGGCAAAGTGTAGCAGGGTCATAGATCCAGAGGGTTTCCCCTGAGAGGGTGATATGTGAAGATTTGAAAAGGAAGCTGCAGCTGCAGCAGAGAACCTGAGAATAAGATACAGGAGCAGCTTGGGATGTCTGCTGAGGACAGCTGCAGGAATTGAACAGAAACAAGTGAAGAGAGGCCACGTGATCTGCAACCACCAAAACCACAGGGGAGAAGCTACATAGTCTTTTGGAGAGAACATTATGATGCCTTGAGCCACAAATGTTGGATGAGGAACCACAAGACAATTTTGTTCAGGTGTATTTCAATTTTGCTTTGTTCCCATACCTTCTTTCTTCTTTCTTTAGCCCTAGTTCTTCCTTGGGGAATAGAAGCATTTACTGTGCACCATTATATTTTGAATACCCGTAATTGCTTTTGATCTTTACTTTCACTTCTGAGAGTTTGCTTTGAGTCTCAGATTAAATTATGGTTAGAACTTTTGGGAAACACTTGAAGTGTTCAGACTATGAAGACTCCTGAAAATGGACTAAATGTATTTTGTATTGTAAGATGGGCATAAAATTTTGGGAAGCCAAGGAAAGGATGTTATGATTTGGATATTTGGTGTCCCCAAAACATATTTGTAAGATATATTTGTAAGAACTAAGAACGTTCAGAGATAAAAAGATTTGATTATGAGAGTTGTGATCGAATCAGTGGACTGATTTCCTGGTATGGATTAACTGGGTGATATCTGTAGAGAGTTTGTGGCTAGAAGAGGTAGGTCACTGGGACCATGCCTGTAGGTTATTTTTTTATTGTCTCTGGCAAGCTTAGATCTCACTCTACTTCTGGAATTATGTTTTGAAATGTTTTCTTCCACCATGATATTCTGCCTCTTATTAGGCCCAAAGCTATGTAGTCAGCAGATCTTGGTCTTAAACTCTTAAACTATGAGTCAAAATAAACTTTTCTCCCTCTACATTATTCATGTCAGAACTTTTTGTAACTGCAATGAAAAAGCTAAAACATTGTATTTCAAAGCATACTATAGTTATTTTAGTACAATAAATTATCTCTCTTGTTGTTGCTAGTTATTGGAATATCTGCTTTTCCTTTCTTTTGTGTTTTCTTTGTTTGTTTGTTTGTTGTTTGTTTGTTTTGGCTAAGCCTTGGTCAGATAATATTGCCTTTTCCATTTTGAAATGGTTATATCCTAACTAGAAATATAAGTACTTACATAATATTGGGGGAAAAAGGCAAATGTATTTACTACTTGTGTAATTTAAGAAAAGTTTTGTGAACTCTTTGCTGGAAGAAGTCTGTGTCAAGTATTTTGGCAATCTAAACAATTTCTTGTCAGTTTGTTGATACTTGTCATCAAAACATTGTTTATCACCAAGGATTATGTGTGTGCATGCAGCATCAGGCATATATGTGAGTATGCATAATTTAGTCCACAGACATTGGTTGGTCTTTGTCCTTGACCACCATAATTCCCCACATAAATTAAGTGCTAATAAGATGCTGAATTAATGCTAATGGAATTAATTTAAGAAAGAAAATATCCTCAAAAATGCAAAGAGAAATGAAACTCTAATTTAAGCAAAATACAACCCAATTTTGTTTTTCAGTGTTGGGAATTGAACTAAAGGCCTCATCTCTTCTGAGCACATGCTCCAGAATTGAACAACATAGTTCCCTGTTTGAAGAAAAAAAAATGAGTTCACAGTTAGATATCTAGAAGAAAACTGTCATTGATATACAAATGGCAAGCAGCAATACAAATTTTTCTTTCAGATTTCAAGTTACAGTTTTTGTGGAAATGATGTAGTTGCTCATGACTTTCCTTATCAATATTATTTTTGGACAATAATTTTGAGACAGTCAAAGAGAATGGAAGACAGGTATGTCAAGACTTACTGTGAAGATACATTATCTCAATGGTGTGTGGTATTAGTGATGAGATCCACAGATTCATTGATGGGATAGAATTTAATACCAGGAATAGAACCACCAAAATATAGTTGAAAATGTAGTGTGATCTTTGAAAAGACAGTAAAATGGAGCAAAGACTATCTTCTCACAGAATCTCACTACAAGAACTGGCCATTCCCAGTTTCAAAACAAAACAAAATGAAAAAGAATGTATACACTTTTCATATCCTTCACAAACATTAGCTCAAATGCATGTTGTAACAAAATCTAAAGCAAAACTATCAAAGCCTTAGAAGCGCATAGAATAAATCAGGATAAAATAGAGTTTTTCAGTTAGTTTTTAGGTACAGAAAAGCTAAATGGAAGATCCATGAAAGAAAAGGGTAAACTGGGAGGGGGCACAGAGGTAGGAAAGACGGTGACATGCAATGGTCTTCATTACCCTAAATACATGTATAAAGACATGAAGGATGTGACTCTACTTTATGTACAATGAGAGATAAGAAAAATGTGCTTTATGTGAGTAATATGAATTGTAATGCATCCTGTTGTCATATATAACAAATTATTTTTTTAAAAAACCCTGTACTTTATCAATACTAATTTTAGCTCTGAATAAGATATATCAAGAACCTGAAAACCCATGTCACTTATGGAGGATATTTTCAAAGATACACTTGGTAAATTGTTTTTCAAAATGCATAAGGTACCCTTTATACTCAACAATAAGAAATAAAACTGATTAAAAACTGGCAAAAACTATAGCAAGCCCCTTAAAAGAGAAGTCATAAAGATGTTAGGTAAACATTTGAAAGATGCTCCATATCAAAAGGTCATTAGTGAAATCTAAGTTAGAACAACAAAGAGATACCATTATATACCTATAATAATGGTCAAAATACAGAACACTGATAGCACCAAGTGCTGACGAGAATGTAAACCAATAGCCTGCTCATGCACTGTCTGTGGGTATGCAAAATACCTTAACATGCACTTACCATAGAGTCCATCAATCATTTTCCTTGTTATTTACCCACAGTAACTGAAAACGTTTGTCCATAAAGAATCCTATGCATGGAGGTTTACAGCATATCTAGCATACTTATTCACAATTTTTAAAATGTGAACTTGAAAAAATAAAAATAAAAAAGAGAGAGAAATGAGTTACAGTAGATGGGGTAGAGAGAGATGATTGGAGGGGAGGGGAGGGGAGGAGGGATAGAAAGGGGATAGGAAGGGCAGCAGAATACAACAGACACTAGTATGGCAGTATGTATAAATGTGACTGTATAACCAATGTGATCCTGCAAGTTTTACACATGGAAAAAATAAGAATTCATACCCCATTTGAATCAAATGTATGATATATGATATGTCAAGATCATTGTAATGTTTTGAGCAATTAATAAAAAAATGTGAACTTGATCAAGAGATTCTTTTGCAAACAATGGAATAAATAAATTGTGTTACATACAGAAAGTGTAATATTGTTACAGTAATAAGAAGAAATCAGCGATCAAGTTATAAAAAGACATGGGGGGAAATGTCATCATTGAGTAAAATAAAGCAATGTGGTAAAACTACATGTTGTATGATTCCAAATATATGACATCATATAAAAGAGCAAATGATAGAGACACTAAAATGATTAATGGTTTCCACTGTACAAGGGGAAGAAGGGATGAACAGGCAGAGTACAGAGGATTCTGATGGTGGTGAAAGTACTTCAGATGATGATATAAAGGTGAATACAGGTCACTATACATCTTTTAAACCCTGCCCCTCCCATAAAAATACATAACACCAAGAATGAATGACACTGTGAATGATATACTGTTGGTGTTAATTATATTATATATTATATGTCCATTGAAGTATCAATATAAAAGGAATAGTGACAACTAGAAGAGCAATCACATAAATCAACATCTCAATCACAAGAGTGTCCCCACAAGCCAGTGTAAGCACAGGAGGTATGTCACAGAAAAAGTGATTCAGCTGGTTAGGGCCACAGAAAGGTAGGGAGAAGATCAAGTAGGTGAACCCCATGTGTACTGGGATCCCACTGACCCAACAGCCTGTGGCCAGTTGGATACACAGCCTATGGTTCATGATGATGGAATAGAGCAAGGGGCTACAAATGGCTACATACCTGTCATAAGCCATTGCAGTCAGGATAAAGCACTCAGTAGCTCCAAAGACCAGAAAGAAGTACATTTGAGTAGCACAGGCTACAAAGGAAATATTTCTGGTTTGTCTACAGAGGTCGGTTAATAATCTTGGGACAGTGACTGACACATAACATATTTCCAAAAAGGAAAAATTCCCAAGAAAAAAATACATGGGGTTATGGAGAGAAGGCTCAACATGGGTTATTATGATAATGAGGCTATTTCCCATCAGAATAATTATATAGATTATCAGAAACAACCAAAAAAGAAACTCTTGTATATTAGGAATATCAGAAAAACCAAGGAAGAGAAATTCCACCAGTGTAGTGTGATTCCTTTGTGGAGGATTTTGTCCTGTAGACTCCATTTATGAACACAATGATTTCAAGATGTAGAAGTCACTTCAATCCACCAGGCTCGGTGGCCATAGTAATAATGGCCAGTCTACTGACATGGAAGAGACATCCAATTGTGTTTAAGTGCCTTGTATATTCAGAGATATATTTCAAACTCAATATCCTAAATTTCCACAAGGTAAAAAGAATAATTTTAAATTCTGTTTCTGCCTGCAATAAAGGTTATGATCATGTGACTAACAAAGTAAGACAAGAGAACAATAAAATAAGAGAAAAAGATATCAGTAGTTTATGTTAGGATCTGAGCTGTTCCCATCAGTATTTAACATTATCTAATGAGAAAAGTTTTTCCTTCCCAATCAATGTAGTCTCTATTTGCCTTTCTTTTGTATTTTTTTCTTCCCAACAACTTCTAATTTACATTTTATTTATATGCTTCTTTCACATTTGATTTGAAGGTTTTCTCTGTGAGCTGAATCCCAGATTGTCAAATGGCAAGGCAGTCAGCCCCTAAGATTCCACTGCCCTGCTCAGTTCAATCAGTCCTGAATCTGAATGTCCAGACCACTGAGTAGCTTGGAAAATGACTTAGACATTGATCTGAAAAAAATTAGAAATGTCACTTTGTCTCTATCACACACCAAAAAATTCTATTTAATTAATCATGCAAATATATATTAGAAATAATGCACTGTAGTAAATCATATGTGCACTGGAAGTTCAAAATGTGAAATGAACTAAATAAACTTTTGGTGTCATATGCTTTAAACCCCTGATAATCTTAATAATTTCATTTATATTGTAAATTATAGGCCACAAAGAGGCATCGTTGGGGAAGTTTAGGACTTTAAACAGCTAATTATATGCCCAAAGGGAATATTAAATGTGCAAAAGAATTTGAAATATGGATCACATCTTTCACCAGTCAATACGTAACACCTTCTACTTCATACTTCTAACATTAAATATGAGTTTCTGATTTGTGATGTACATGGCACAGTGCTAAATGCAGTGCAGACTGAGCCTCATCATCTCCTTCAAGAATTAAGCATTTTTGACCAGAGATGTTCAAGCTCTCCTCTCCTCCACTGGATCCTATAACATTTGTTTTTGTTTTTTCAGTTGCCATCCAGCCTGTGACCTCCAATTATGCTAAACTCTGACCTTTTCTACAGAAGGTCACATTCTCCACACTTTATGGTGTTATGAGTTTTGCACTCCCATTTCCTAGGTCCCAAACTGTTTTCACTTCCTACAAAATACAGCATCCCTTTCTTCTACTAAAACCCAAAATTCCTCTCTGTTTCATAAATGCTAAACAACCAAAGAACTGACAATTTCTACTTTCACTTATTTTTACTTCTCTTCTCAATGAATGTTCTCTTCTCTTTCTTTCCCACAACATATTTAAAGTACCCTCCCACCTCTACTTCCAATTTAGAATCATCAAGAAGAACAATCAGCAAATTGGGAAATTTTGGATTAAAATAATATGTTCTATAAACTGAGACTGTGTAAGCTCTAAAATACTTTTTTTTTTACCATTTCTATTTTTTCCCGATTCTTTTTCTTTTCATAGTTTAGTAATTAGTTTTCCATTTCAGCTCTTTCCTAAATTTTCAAAAATTTGCATCATCTTCCAGGTATGTAAGTCATACCTTGAGGGAAAAAAAAAACTAAAACAAAAAGAATATTGAAACTTCAGTGTTCTAGATATGTTTCACGTAATATATAAATCATTAAATGTATACATATCTTCTTTTTATTCTTGTTTAATTTTTTTAGTTGTAAATGAACACACAGCATCTTTATTTATTTTTATGTGGTGCTAGGGAGCGAATCTAGTGCCTCACACTTTCGAGGCAAGTGCATTACCACTGAGCTATATAGCCCCAACCCAAATCTATATGTACCTTGTAGTTTATTATGAATCGTTTAATGTGTTAAGTAGTAAAGATAATAATCATGAAATAATATGCATTTGCTGTTTTCACAGAGCTTGTGGACTAGTAGAGAAGTCAGACAGGTTTTGCATCTTACCTTAGATATGCCAAAGTTTATAGAGAGAAATTAAAAGTTGTTATTGGAGTTTCAGACAATTGCTTAGGGAAAGGGCAGCTAATGTAAGACTTTTATAGATTTTGGTACATAGCAAAATAACCTTTGTTAATTTTTTTTTAAAAAGAGATTAAAATATTTTCTGGGAGAAAAATACTTCATATCTTCTTTCAATACTATATTTCAGCAAACTGTTTAGATGCCAACACAGATGAGTGATTTATAAATTCTTCCTGATTAATATATAGGAATGAAAATTTCCCACCAATCTCAGCAGTTATGCTCAATTTCACTAGATATGAGTGTTCAGGAACCAATGGACTAGATATTAAGTAAGTTAAAAGTGGAAAATAGATACATTAAGGTAATATGCCCTTATTGAGATTATGGGAGGCTAATTTCTCTTGTTTTAAAACATTTGTAGTAATAAAAATAGGTTACTAAGGAAGATGTTTTGAGCAATGAGTGGCATAAGCTATGAGAGTGGATAGATTTAAATTAGGCAATTGTACGCTGTGTAAGTGTTGCTGTTATAATAATTATTATCCTCATTGTATTTATAATTTTCATTTTAGAATATGCTATTTTTCTATCCTCTTAAAGTCTGCTCACCATTTGTTCTGCCCTGTAACGGAGTTTGCTCAATCTAGGACAAGAGAGGATGTAAAGGGCAGTGTTTTATCAAGAATGCTGAGCTGAAATTAATAGAATAATTCTGTGCTGATGGAGGAAAACAGCAACAGTACCTGGAAAAAAACTTACTGGTCTCTTTTTAAAAATTATAAATTTTAAAGACATTTACAACTATATAGTTGTATTTTGAACTCAAGAGAACTCACAAGAAGTGTACTATTGGCAAAGTGAAATTTAAAAATCTAAATCAAAGTCTATTTAATACATAAACAACATTCTCAGAAATAACCTTCTTTGATTGTGTATCTTTTCTAAACTGGGTTTATATTCTCCATTGGCAATTAGTAATATTTTGGAAGTTCTAATGTGGAAACTTTAGTAGCTGCACCACATTTATTGAAAACATTTCTTCTTTATTATCCTTTACTAATCTTATTTTCTATTTTATTAGGAAACTAGCATAGCTAAAGGAGGGATATAGAGAGCCCTCATTAGTTGCCCTATTTATTTGTTGATGCTGACAATATTTAACATTCATTATGTGCTAAACACCATTTTCATGAGTTTACTTGCATTATCTAATTTATCATACTGAGTGAAGTAGGTGTTGTTATTATATTTGTGTTATTGCAAGAAAATCCAGAGGCACAGAGAGGTTAAGTAGCTTGCCCAGTGTGATAAAGTTAGCATACATCCTAACTGAATTCAAACTGTGTTATATATATATATATATATATATATATATATATATATATATATATATATATATATAAATATAATGTGTGTGTGTATATATATATACACATATATATAAAACCAAAGGGATCTATATATATGTATGTGTGTATATAAAATAATTATAAATACTTATATATTTAAATATATATATATATATATATATATATATATATATATATATATATATAAATCAAAGAGATTCACAGAAAATTCTGGTAGTCTCAATAATATTAATAAAGCTTAGAGAAATAGTAACTCATTCAGAACTGCAGAGTAATTTTGTAGATCTCAATTACTATTACAAAATGAGATAATAATTTACTTCATTGATAGTTTATATAGTTTCATAGGATGACAAACAGAGTAAATCCAAAAGATGAGAAGGAGTTTGGTGACCAGTTGTCATAACCAGTATATACTACTACAAACAATTTGCCTCATTGAATACTATAGCCTAACACCTTATATAGTTGGATATTTATTGAATGTTCATAGATGCATGAAATGCATGAATACTTTTCAAATTAACTGACAAAAGATTCACAGTAACCCTAAAAATTCGCTCTACTTTCTCCTTTCAAAAAGTACTAATACGTCACAATGTCATTTTCCCATACTCACCTGTATAAAATTGAGACTCAAGGCATTTTCATCTGTCTTCTAAAATATTTTTCCTCTTTCATAAGTACCTGTAAATAAAGATAAATTCCTTCCATCTCATGATCAGAGAAGGTTTCAACACATAAACAACCCAGATTGTATATGAACTCATAACTTCCAAGTTGCATTCTTTGAGGTCGAGAAATGACCAAATGGATGCAAAAGTTAGAGAGATGTTTAAAAAGCAATGCAGAACTTCAGATCAAGAGATCCATTGTATGGCATGGCAACTAAAGTTAAAAACAAGGAACTGTATTCTTGGTAATTGCTGACGGAGTGGATTTTATGTGTTCTGATCATGATTGATGATAAGCATATGACATTCATAAAGAAATCTGTTTGAAAGTATTTTCTTTGATGAGTTTTGATCCATAAGATTAAAAATAATACTCTAAAATAAAATCAATAATGCTTACCCATTACCTATATAGTGAAGAAATTATTATATGGTGCCTCTCTTAATAAGGATATAATTTTATGTAAGGTAAGTTTTTTTCATTGACATTATTAGAGTAACAAATCAAACTTTTTATTTCCCCCTGAAATGGTATTCCTTAATTTTAAGTAAACTATAGTAGATTTTAGATGGGAAATAGTTCCTTATTCATTGTGAGGTCATTTTGTCTCTAAGACAGGATGCATTTTTAAACCTCAGTAATTTATCAAGTGAGAAGCAGTAAATAATCCACTACCTTTGATTTGATTAGTCCTTCATCATCATCTCTGTCTCTCTGGAATATGGTCTGAGGGGACCAGCTTCCTGACCATTCCTCTTGCCTTTCTCCCCATACCCTCTGCCTTTGAAGACTACAGCCATTCCCTTATTGGCCAAGATTTTATAAGACATTCACAGTTTTCACATAGGCCTACATCTACACATAAAATATGAAAATATTAAATTAACAAATTTTAAAAATATTTT